GTGTGTGTTTGTGTTCGAGCACCAGCATACAGGCTGACACTAACCAAACGCTGGACTTCAACTCCTGTTCGGAAGTAGCCGAAAATAAACAGAAAAAGAAACCCGGAAACTCTATGACGATTCGGCAGAGCTGTAGTTGTATTCAATACTATGTCCGATTGCACCAGAAGATGAAGTGAAAGTCGATCTTCCGCGGTCCAGAGTTTATCACAGTTTCCATAAGAACAGGCTTAACGATAACATAAACACACATGATGTGATATTAATAATAATAAATAGATAGCCTTTTTATAGCGCATATCCCCGCTCAACAGCAGGCTCTATGCGCTTTACACTATATCATTACCCCAGCAGACCATAGAACACTCCGAAACATTCTCAGCTTCCCGGGAAGCATACAGTGCAAGCAGCCGATTAAGCGCTCAAACACTAACAAACTCACAAGATCTTTCGCTGTCTATAGCCGGGTACCCATTCCCACCTGGGTGAAGTGAGGGAAATTCGAGTAAAGTGCCTTTCCCAAGGACACAACGTCGGGTCCCTGACGGGATTCGAACCCACGACCTTACGGTTGCGAGTCCGAGAGCCTAAATTATTACCGACACTACACACTCTGCGCGTCATTGACAAATAGACAGAATAACTTATTGTAGGTCTTTAGATTTAGTTTTAGTATAAGATCATATAACCGCCAGAAGATTAGAGGTGTTACAAGAGAGTAACAAACATAAAAAAGAAGAAGGGGGACATAAGGACGCTAGATGTTTGATGGGAAAGAAGAAGCAAACCACACCAGAGCACCCGCCAACCGCCCACATTGTACGTCTATAAGTTCAACATTAAAAGTTCTTGAACAATACAGAACAGTGCATATAACATTGAAAGCGAGGATACCAGAACAAAAAGGAGTGGTATGAAATTGTTAAGATGTAGTGCCACCGAGATCGGCCAGAATAAGTTGGGGAAAAAAGACGAGCAATGAGGGGTGTCAGATTCTACACACAAGACAAACCCTGCCGAATACAAAAAAATGTAGAAAAATACAATATTTTATTCACTTAAAACGACTCAAGACCATTGTGAAAGATTACTCGAAGGAAAGACGTGGAGCAGGGGAGTCAGGGGAAGACACAGAACAACATGGATGGACAACATACAAACATGGACTAGAATGGGTGTTGGAGAATGTGCAGCGGCAGCTCGGGACCATGAAGGATGGAGAGTCATGGCACTTACATGACCAAAACTAAGTCGATATTAATGTAAAACACCTGTTCAATCAATCAGGAGGGTCATCACACCAGAAACCTCCCAATCAGTGTTGACACCGCCAGAACTCCAGAATGAATCGATTTTTTAAAATTATTTTTTTAGTAGAATAATTCATTGTACGTCTTTAGATTTAGTTTTAGTAGAGGTTTTATGGCGCTCGCAACTGTGTAAGGTCATACGACGGCCAGAAGATTAGAGGTGTTACAAGAGAGTAACACAAATAAAAAAAGACGGGGAGATAAGGACGATAGATGTGTGTGTGTGTGTGTTTGCGTGTGAGTGAGTGTGTGTGTGTGTGTGTGTGTGTGTGTGTGTGTGTGTGTGTGTGTGTGCGCGTGTGTGTGTGTGCGTGTGAGTGTGTGCATGTGATCAACACACG